ATGGGGTTAGGCAAGTATGATGTTATTGGGACCAAAATCAGGGTGTGGTACGTGCATCCACTGTTCATGATTGGAAAAAAATCTACTTGTTTGGAGATGAAGCCCCACCCGTTCATTCTCATCAGTAATTGTATTTTCTAACTTCATTTTCTGTATATTTTCCCTTATTTTAAGTATATTCCGTGCCAACTGCAGTTGTTTGTTCCTTCTTTCAAGATATTCTTGGCAGCAATAATACAATTCATTTTATTTACTTTTCTTTATATATATATATATATATTATACTTTAAATTATGTATAAATTATGTACGATGAACTTGTAAATTTTTTGTTTTATATGTTACTTTTTAAAAAAATGAATTTAATAAAATAAAAAATATATATAACCAAATAATTGTGACTCAAAAATACGAGCATCATAGTTTTACGGGTACCCAAGTAATGAATACCCAAACTTAACGAACTAGGAAACAAGCCTACAAATATACTATCTTATACTTCGGCTATCTCAAAATAAAAATACTCGGTTTTGAACACCTCTAATATCAATAGAATAAATAGTTTTTAACTTAAAAATTAAAATAAATTATTTATTTAGTTACTCATTTATCTAAGTGATTCTATTTTAACCACTAACTATTTTAGAATTATACAAAACATCATATTTTATTTTTATTTTGATCCCTTATCATTAAAAAATAAATAAATTATTTATGTGATAATTTTTTAATAATGAAATGATATTTGATAATTTTTTAATAATGAAATGATATTTTTATAATAATATTAATTCTAATATATCGTCGTTAATTTACTAGTGATGATAATAAATAAAACTATAAAAATAAATAGAAGATTAATACAAAATTTACACTGTAAATTATAGCAGTCAGGCTAACATGTCCAAGCGGGTGGGAAATATGTCGCTGTCTACTGTCAAAAAATGAGCCCTCCAAGATGACAGCACAGCCGTGAAACAAGTTTTCATCAGCAGCACCAAAATTAATCAAAGAATTCATCAACAGCTGGTGTGTGGAGAGCACAAAATGGAGAAATACAAATAAAAATATCTCAAACTTCTTGAATTTTCTTCTTTTTTAATAATATTTTGAAATTCATGAGCTGAAAGCTGAAATGGACAGGTGTTCGGCGAGAGCTTTCACAATTTTTTATGATTGTATAAATACCACCATTGCCGGGTTTCTCGTGAAGTGCTCAAAAGCTTTAGTAGAGCTTTTAGCTTGATAAACCGGTTAAATCACATTGCTTAAAAAGGTGATTTCATTTATTTTTTTTCCGAATCCAATTCCACAAATTTTCACTTGGTGTATTGTTGTTTTCTCCTTAAAAATGCTTCCCTTTGGTTAAAAGATGATTCTTTTGATTCTGGGTGTTTGTGAATCTTGCTTCTTTATGAGTTTTACGATCTGGGTTGTTTACATAATCTTAAATACTTTCATCTGATCCAATCTTTTTGGGGTTTCTTTCGATTTTTTATGTGATCTACAGTTGATTTAGTTCATTATCTATCTGTTTCAGTTTCAGTTTCATTTGGTAGGAGCTTCAATGGATTCGTGTTGTGTGGCCTTGGGAGCCAATTCTCATTTGGTGAATGCAAGAAAATCTGGCTATGGCAATGGGGATAACACATTTCTAGGGGAGAGAACAAGAGGGAGTCTTAATAACAACACTATTTGGTTCAAACAGCTGAAAAACAGCTTGAGAGCTGATGATAAGAAGGAAAACATGATCAAATCTGGTGCTTTTGCTGTTCTTACATCAAACACTCCCAGGGAAGCCGTGGTATGTTGATTTTTTAATGATTTACTGTTGAAAAAAATGGACAATTTGCAATGATTCTTTGATAAAAGTGTTGATCTTTTCGGTTTTAGACGGTACAACCACGGCGATTCGAACGACAGCGAGTCGATCACAAAAATGTGGCTTCCATCATATTGGGAGGTGGTCCAGGGACTCAGCTCTTTCCACTTACCAAAAGGGCAGCTACACCTGCTGTAAGTATATATATGTGTGTGTAAATTATCTGATGGTAATGACGCGTTAGTTCATGTTTGGTGATGAATTTGATACTTATTAATTTGATTTGGATTCTTTGGTTTCGGTTTTAACCATGGTGAATGCCTTTCTTTATGTGAATTTGATGTTCAGGTTCCGGTTGGAGGGTGCTATAAGCTGATAGACATTCCGATGAGCAACTGTATCAACAGTGGGATAAACAAGATCTTTGTTTTGACTCAGTTCAACTCGGCTTCCCTCAATCGCCACATTTCGCGCACCTATTACGGCAATGGTATCAATTTCGGAGATGGCTTTGTGGAGGTATGATATCCTTGTGTCGAGTAAAGATTGAATTGTTACCTTCTTTGTTAGTTTAACTAGTGCAAAACACAAGTCGATCTTTCGTTAGGGAGTTCTTGTATCCGATTCTATATGATCTGCAGTAATTGGAATAAGGATTTGTTGAGTGTTAGAGTACTTTAACAGAGCTCACTTGGTTAACAGGTTCTTGCAGCCACTCAAACATCGGGAGAGGAAGGGAAGAAATGGTTCCAAGGAACCGCCGATGCTGTGAGGCAATTTATATGGTTATTTGAGGTAGAAACCGAGTTTCATTTCCCTATGTAATGATAAAAATGGCTTGGAATTCATGTAGTTCACGTTTCATTCATCCGGATATTAAACATGACGGATTAATTTTTTTTTCCGTGTAGGATGCAAAGATGAACATCGAGAATGTAATGATCTTGTGTGGGGATCATCTCTATCGAATGGATTATATGGAATTTCTACAGGTATTGATTACTGTTACTCGGTTGGACTCGTGTTTTCTGGCATTGCTAAGAGCCTAACTTATTTGCAATGCATAACAGTGTCATGTCGACAATAATGCTGATATTACAATCTCATGCGTGCCTGTGGACAACGGGTATTTCGATCTACTCCCATTTTAATGACGTAGTTCTCGTTCGATATATATATTACCTTTTCTAGTTATTCCCTATTAGTACATCTAAAAAGCTGACCATAAATAACGGGTTACTTTCCAGCCGTGCATCTGATTATGGATTGGTGAAGATGGATGGCAGGGGGCCGTATCGTACAGTTTGCTGAAAAACCGAAGGATGCTGATTTGAAAGCAATGGTAAGCCATTTTATTAACCTTTTAAGTTTTGTGTAAACATGTTTCGACGTTGACATTATCGATTATCATAGCTTTTTAGGTGAGAAATTGTTTTATTTACTTCATGATTCTCTGCAGCAAACAGATACCACACTTCTAGGGTTGTCTCCCCAAGAAGCCCTGAGATCCCCTTACATTGCATCGATGGGCGTTTACGTCTTCAAGATGGATGTGTTATTGAAGCTTCTGAGATGGAGATATCCAACTTCGAACGACTTTGGCTCTGAAATCATTCCTGCTGCGGTGAAGGAGCATGATGTCCAGGTAAGAGCTATCAAAATGGAACATTCATCTCTCTTTATACAAACGACGAGTTCGTTTATCATGAGGCTTCAAATGCAAAACCGACCCCTACCAAAGAAGCATCATGCCATTCGTATTCGTCAAGAGTTTCTGAATGTCCAAGGCATCTGATTACTCTATGTACGTGCTAAATTCTGCAGGCATATATTTTCAAGGACTACTGGGAGGATATCGGAACGATCAAGTCGTTTTATGAAGCCAATTTGGCCCTCACTGAAGAGGTTGGTTTTATCGTTATACGCTTTCATTTGGTATATGCATTTGTTTGTTCACGGACAATGGCACTGCCTACATTCAGTCTTGTTGGATATGCATATCTCATTATAATGCTGATAAACTTGTCCCGTCTTTGCAGTTTCCAAAATTCGAGTTTTATGACCCAAAAACTCCTTTCTATACTTCTCCTCGCTACTTACCGCCAACCAAAATCGATAAATGCAGGGTACAGATTGTCTACTTTGGACTAAAGTTGTGGCACTCGTTTTTCTTCCTTCTCTGTTTTGGTTAGTTTATGCAGATTAAAGATGCAATAATATCCCACGGATGTTTCTTGCGAGAATGTAGCGTCCAACACTCGATAGTCGGCGAACGCTCCCGTTTAGACTACGGTGTCGAGCTTCAGGTAAATTTTCATCCTTTCCCAGTTTAAGTTAAACCGTTTCTCTTTACCCCTTATACTTTTAGCTCATCTCGTTCACTCCTTTCCAATCTACAGGACACAGTAATGATGGGAGCAGACTATTACCAAACTGAATCCGAAATTGCATCTCTACTAGCGGACGGTAAGGTCCCAATCGGAATCGGAAGCAATACCAGAATCAGGAACTGCATCATCGACAAGAATGCTAAAATAGGACATGATGTGGTCATTGTGAACAAAGATGTAAGCATATCATCTTTTGTCATCCACTCTAACCATTGCTTGCATTATTCGAAGTATCAACTAATTGCTGTTTCTCCTTAGGGTGTTCAAGAAGCCGACAGGCCGGAAGAAGGATTTTACATCCGGTCTGGTATAACCATCGTTATGGAGAAGGCAACAATAGCAGATGGCACAGTTATATAAAAATGAATCTCAGAGACTCCCACGGGCAGCTCTATGTTCGGAACTGAAGGTGCTTTGCAGATAGCAACCATGAACCGTCGATACAGGTCTGAAAATCGGATGCGGCATACTGCATACTCAGTATTTTGCCTGAAAAGAAAGAAAAGAAGCTGCATTTCCATCCAATTACTAGATATATGTAAATTACAAGCTCTTTATGCAGTGTAAAATAGATGCTGGATCTCATAGAAAATAAGTTGCATCAAGATAAATGACAGCTTTGCAGCTTTCCTTTTCGTTTTATTAGTAGAGTAGCAGCCTGAATGGCTGATGCCGTATGTTTTATCCATTTGATGTCAATGTTCATCAAATAATCAATAAAAGTATGGATGATATTACGCATTTTAAGTTGTCGAGATGTTATTAAGTTCATTCGAATCTACAAATCGGATGTCACAATAATGATCATGGCCTTCCCCAGACTATCGAAGATCCCTTTATTCGAAATTCGCAATGATGGAAACCGTTCATGACCTTCCCCATTAGAGCCATGGCTGCAATGCTCGGAAATTGCTTCTTTTCGAGTTCGTCGAATGTTGCTGTTGAAGTCTGTGGCTCACATAGCACTAAAGCTTCAGGCTTCGTGTTTGAAGATTCGTTTCTCCGACGACACCATCTATGAATCCAATATTTTGAAAGAGACGATTCTCGGTTCTTCCTCGTTGAATCATCGGAAGAGTCGCCATTCTTTAATAGCATTGCGGTTTGATTGAGTGCTGGCTCCTGTCTTGTCTGGTTTCCGTCTACCGTGGGTTCTGAAATGCTCGACTTGAGACTTTTAACACATCTGCGGATCGGCTCCCGTCCAAGAACATCTTGACAAGATGCGGAAACCAAGGGCTGCTTAGCGAGGCAGATGAGATGCTCCACATCTAAACTCTGGGTTTTCAAGGTACTTGTCCCTCCATCATCGATTGAGTTTGCCATGGTCGAAAATTCAGGAAGCTCCTCATTCATATCAGGTAATTCAGTGTTCACATGAACTCTCTTGTTATTCTGCAAATTATTTGCATTAGTTGATAATGAACCAAACAATTGTTTTCCAACAAAACACACTAATTACAGAACATCAGGAACATGATCATCGACACTTTTGGTCTGTAAAAGAAACAGGTAACCATCCAAAAACTAGTAAAATAGGCAAGAATTACCTCTTCTGATGAACACATACTTGAAAGATGGATCTTCTTTGAAACATCCAATTCCATTGCTTCAGTTTCAGCTGGTGACTCATTCTTTAAACAAACAGTAGGTCTGATATCTACAAAATTGTCCTGTCCGAGTTGACCATGGAAACCGAAACCGGGGGATAAACTCGAGAACTCTCTGAACATGTTTCGTTTCGGTTCTCGGGTAACCATGGCATCTTTGAATATATGTCCTCCTCCAGTTAAGTTAACGCCAGTCTTCTTTGTAACAAAGAATTGGTGAGTTATCTGAGGATTATTTTCATGCAATTCAGGGTAAGCCGACTTACTCAAGTTAACGTTGAGATCGATCCGGTACTTCACTGCCTCGCCGACGTTCGAACTACCCGGCGCATTGTTGTTGGAAGACTTCCACTCTCCACCATATTCCAAGATTTCAGTACCGTTTCCGGCCTTGAAAGCAAAGGATAATCATGCATCGCTTGTAGTTTTTAAATATATATTTAATACAATTTAATTATATAAAATATTAAAATAAGCATGATAAAAAAAATTAACTTTTAAAAATCAATAATGAACAAAATTAATGAAACGAAGAGAGTAGTTATTTTATTTTTCTAAAAATATCTTAATTTTTAATATTTTAACTTTAAAAAGACTTTGATAAAAATCATCTATCAACTAATATTATTATTTGATTGAATCACTGATACTCAATTTATTAATTAATTAATATAAATTCAATATTACAAAGATCTATTTATGAGAAAGACTTTCTCAATTTATCTTACTTTATTCACATTGTCAAGATTTTAACTTTTGATTTTATTTAAGATATCAATGATTTATTTTACTAGATAAATTAATTATTGGTGATAATTAGTTTTTATTTTGATGTAATACACTTACATATTTTTAATTATTTTTTATTAATTTAAAGTGCTTTCAATGGATAGTATATATATTCTAATTTTTAATTGTTCATATAATAGTGTTAGGTGTTAGATTATTGGAGTTATTTGAATGTTAAAAAAAAACATTTCATATTCATTTGAATTTGATATCAAAAATCAGATAACATTACGATCAATTTGATTCTTAATATGTTTAATTTTATTATAATATATTTTAATAAATTTACTAAAATAATTTTTTAAACTAAAATTATGAAAGAAAATTTTAATAAATTTACTTGGTGTTATTCATTTCTGTCTTATTAATTCTTAAATAACCCTAAAAAACATAATAATAAAATTCAAACTAAATAATACCAAAACGATAATAAGAAGACGACAAACGCATGGACAAAAGGCTAAAACGGCATATTCTTTCCCGTTTGAACGACTCCGTTTTTTGCAACGACCACTGCTCAAGCATTTTCACTGTCGGTAAAAATGAAAAACAACGCAGTAACAATTAAAAAAAAGTAAAAAATATTTTTTAAAAAATGAAAAGAAAAAACATAGATATACCCATCTCCGAATAGATCTGCTCGCTGAACGGCTCTTTGCTTCATCTTTGTCACAAAACACCAAAAAGAAAAAAGAATTTCTCAGAGAGCCCAAAGCTTAACAACGGAGAGTCCTTTAGAGGTTACCCTTTTGTTTATTTCAATATTTCTTTAGTTTAAACATCTTTTTTTAAGTTTTATATTCATTGTTCATAAAGATCTTTTGTTTTCTAAGCATTCAATATTTTTTATTAATGTTCATGGTAGATTCCCCTGTTTATTCAACAATTTATGCTATTTCTATGTAGATACATGGGTTTTTTTTTGTTTTCTGGATCTGGGTTTTTGAAGCATAGTTGTTTCCCTTTAAAAACACTAGGATTTATTGCTTGGTTTGTGAGAAAGCTGAAGCAGAGTTTTGGGATCTCATCTTGTTTTCGTAGCTTTGGGTTTTTTTTCCTTGGTGATGTGTGATTGGTTTTTGTGGTTGGCTTTAAATCTCAGTTCCTAAACTTCTGGTCATGAGTTTTCAATGCATTTTCTTGGTTTACAATCATAGTATTAGGGTTTTTCTCTAAATTGGATTCATTGATTGAAAATGACTTAGCTACTTTGCTTTGTGATGCTTAATGGTAACTATGTTTCATTGTAAACTTAATGGATCTTTGTGCTTAAGTTGATTTGTGTTCTTCTCTTATGGCATAGAATTTAAAGCTAATACTGAATGGAGGGAATTGGAGGGGATGGTGCGTCAGTGGCATCGCCGTTGCCTCAATGGGGGCACGACGCTTGGAGAATGTATCAGTATTATCTGGATAAGTCAACTCCTCATTCGACGTATAGGTGGATTGGAACCCTTGTTGTAGCAGCTATGTACTGTTTGCGGGTCTATTATGTTCAAGGGTTTTACATAATCTCGTATGGACTAGGAATCTACCTGCTGAATTTGCTAATTGGGTTTTTGTCTCCACTTGTTGATCCCGAACTTGAAGGTTCTGATGGACCTGTATTGCCGACGAAAGGTTCAGATGAATTCAAGCCGTTTATCCGCAGACTACCCGAGCTTAAGTTCTGGTAATTGAAAACTTTATTTTATTGCCATATGGTTTATTAAGGGAACACTGCACTGCACTCGAGGTATATTGATCTATTTAGGCAAACTCAAAAGCACAGTCTGGTTTTTTTAGATAGATGGAAACAATTCCCTTTATTATTAGCCAAAAGGAGAAAATATGTGAAAACATGTGCTGCCAGGTTAAATGGTGTGATCATTCGATTCATTTCATGATTGTTGATGATGATTCAAGAAAGAAAAAGGGATATTTACTTTATTGCGGGTATGATTATAGTAGCTTGTATTCAATTGAAATTTAGGTCATAGTTATCTTTATTGCTGTTTGTCTTTTTGAATCTCATAATGGAGTTATATATATATGTAAATAAAGGTTTGGTAGTTAACCCTCTTTATTGTTTTAACATGTTCGGTTGATTGCAATGTAACATGGCTTAAAAGTTTCTTGGACAAAAACTTATATCATATATTCTGTCTGACCTTTGTCATTCTATTCGGTGTTCTGCTAAGAGGACTTCAAAGGTAGTTACTTGGTCTCCTCCTCCTTTAGGATTTGTTAAAGTGAATGTTGACGGCGCTATGGATAAGTGGTGGTCGAAGGGTGGCATTGGTGGGTTGATTAGAGATGAGAAAGGAGTGATGTTGGGTTCGTTCTCTGAATGTATTGGGTCCGGACCTCCTATTATGGCAGTGTTGATGGCGATAAAAAGAGGCTTGAATTTGTTTCTTGATTTGGGGTTGTCGGCAAACAGAAGTCTTATTTTGGAATCAGATAGTGCTGTGGCAGTTGACTGGATAAAAAATCCATTAAGTTCTACCCCGATATTCCTATCTTTAGTAAAAGATATTGCAGAGATTGTGGTAGATAAAGGTGTCATTGTGCGTCATGTGGTGAGAGCAGTTAATTGGGAAGCGGATAAATTCGCTAAACTAGGGATTGGTTAAGTTGAGAGGATCTATTTATGTTGTTGTCCTGCTTCGAGGGAATTGTTAACAGATTAGGTTTATGTTTAAGTTTGTTACAGGCTGAGTCCTATTAGAAGTTTGTTTTCTTTAGGGTAATTCTAATGCTTAATTTCTGTAGGGTTGCGGGTTGCCAAGGATTATGGCAGTATTGTAATCTTATTGTACTTGGTTCTTATGCAATTAAATTTATAAGGTACTCTTTTCCTCCTTCCAATGTTCGTTAAGTCCTTGTTGCTTGACGGATATGAAGGGGGTTTTTAATGAGGCCTTCCTTATTATAAAAATAAATATATAATATATATATATATGTGTATGTAAATAAAGGTTTGGTAGTTAACCCTCTTAATTGTTTTAACATGTTCGGTTGATTGCAATATAACATGGCTTAAAAGGTTCTTCGACAAAAACTTATCTCATATATTCTGTCTGACCTTTGTCATTCTATTCGGTGTTCTGCTGTGTGTCTCTGATTCTGGAAACTGAGGAAAATGTGCTCGAAATAATTTGCTCTTTATCTGTCCATCGTATTTTGTCATCTTCGATGCTTGTTGTCTTGCTTGTAATAAATATGAATTGTTGCTAAATGAATGGACATTAAAGTATGAATATAATACACACGTTTTATGCTTTTTTTCAGGTACTCCATGACGAAGGCTTTCTGTATAGCATTTCTCATGACTTTCTTTTCCGTTTTCGATGTTCCCGTCTTTTGGCCTATATTGCTTTGTTATTGGGTCGTTCTCTTCGTTCTTACAATGAGGCGTCAGATTGGGCACATGATCAAATACAAGTATATCCCTTTCAACATCGGAAAACAGGTCAGCTTGTGAACCATATTTGCAACTTTATCAATGAGATTCTTTTGCTTTAAATTCTACTGGCAATAGGGAAGTCTGATATCCGCCCTTCTCTCTTTGACAGAAGTATACCGGTAAGAAAGCTTCCACAAGTAGCGGTCGTGTCCGTGGGGATTGAAGCTTGGTCGTTTCATTTGGACGATTATTCGTTATCGTAGATTTTCACATTTGGAGAAGATACATTTATGTTGTCTGGATTTTTTCAAAATATGCAGTTACTACAAACATAAAAGTTCAGTTGTCCCTGTGAAGAAGATACTGACATCCAGAGCTGAAACTTTAGTGTTTATACACATTGTCAACATTTGATCAAAGTTTTTTGAGATTATTGGCTAGTAATGTATACAACAAAGTATTGTTCCACTCCACTGCTCTGCCATATTAGTAGCTAATTGTTAGGAACGATGTATGTCTCATTAATCTATTGATTTGGATTGGTCTTACTTTTCACAATTGGTATTCTATTATGGTATAATGTCAAAAAAAAAAAATCCTCAAACGTATGAATAAATAGTCATTACAGTTTCTATATGTATATAAACATTTTGATCTCTGATGTTTTATTTTAATACAAAAAACCCTTAAGATTTGACTAAAAAGTGTTTTAGCTAAATAGTGTTCTAGCTCTTTTATTGGGGAGTTTTGGCTCACAAATTTCATTTTATGGTGAAAGACCCTCATTTTGGAGTATCGAACTTTTGTTGATTTTTATCTAGGAAGTGTTCATTTCTAGAGGCTAAATTTCATAAAGTATCAATGACAATTTTTGATCACTTCATCGTTAAATAATATTATCTTCATCGTTAAATAATAATAATATTATGATATTACATAAGAATTAAAAACGTTGTTTTAAAAAAGTCAAATTTACATTAAAATGATAATTTTTGGGATCTCTAAAATAAAAATTCTCCTTTCTTTTTCTTTTTCTTCTTTTCTTTTAGTCATCTTATCATGATCGATGTCATTGACAACAATCAATAAGTTTTAAAAATTTCTATTAAATCCATTTAGTCTTCATGAACACAAATTTAATGTCTGTTTAACTAAAAAATATTGGAATTTAATGAACAAGATGAAGAATAAAGCTTGTTTTCTTATTGACAATAATGGAACTAAAAGACTTAAGCTTTAAGATAACCAGTACAGTACTTACAGAAAAGCATAGGTAGGTGATGTAAGTTAACAACCCTAGCTAACAGTCCTAGTTAACAAGCTGAGCTAACCACTTGAGAACTAAACCCACGTGATGTAAGTCTCTATATTCCTCCTACTTCTTCCACCTTCCGCATTCAACACACAACCACACAGGCTGTCTCTGAATCGTTCAAAACCAGGCTTTGACAAGGGTTTGGTTAACCCATCTGCAACCTGCGCCTCGACTTGTACATAGTTGACGTACAACTGATCGGTTGACACTTTCTCCATCACAAAATGAATGAGCAAGTCAACGTGCTTTGAGTGAGCATGATAAACTGGATTAGCTTACAACGCCACAGCACACGTATTGTCGGACCATACTATCGGTTGTCATGCTGAACCACACCAAGATCTGTCAACAAAGCACGAACCCACGTGACTTTAGCTACAGCATCAGCAATACTCCGATTCTACCTTTTGCTTTTTGGAATTCCATGCAACCAAGCACCCTCCTACAAACACACTGTAACCGGAAACTGATCTGCGATCGTCTACATTTCCTCCCCAGTCTGCATCAGAGAAGGCAACAATTCGTAGAGTAGAATCCTTTGAAGAGAATGACAGTCCATAGTCTATCGTTCCCGCAGGTAGGGGTGTGCAAAACCGGATATTGGATCCGATCCGATCCAAAAATTTTAGATACCTAAAATAGTGATTTGTATTCGATCCTTTCGGATAGGATACTCGAATCCGAATATAAATTTAAAAATTAATTTAAAAATTTTAAATTTTGTGATATAATGTTATATATTCTATACTTTTATATATATATATATATATATATTGTTGCGGAAGACGGCTATCAGATAGAGTAAAATCGCAACTGATAATTTGAGAAAATAAAAATGAAGATAAAAGAGATACAAAATTTACGTGGAAAACCCCTAAAATTATTAGGGTAAAAACCACGGGCAACGGTAGAATAATTTCACTATGAGAAAATAGGAATTACAACCTCTCTCAATCTACCAAGGAGAAAACAATGATAATTCTCTCTAGATAAAAAGGAGAAAACAACTCTCAAGAAACTCTCTAAAATCTCTCTAGTATTGGAAGAAAGCTAGAATGCTTTGGGATGGTTTTGAAGCTAAATGAGCTAGGGTATTTATAGTAGAAGCTTTAATCACTAATCTTATAAATACCCTAAATTACAATGACTAATTGCATAGTTTTACCATCCAAAAATTCAACAAAAGTTGGCTACCTAAATATGACCATTTAGCCGCCCATGTTTTGTTTACTTTCAACAATCTCCCACTTGAAGATTTGATTGGAACAATCATATCTTCACACCATTCTTTCTATCTTGTACCATCATGTTGCTTACGTCTCTGACAGACCACAGGAGGATTGACACCAGGTAAATTTATCCGCGTTGATCGCCTTCGTCATGAAATCTGCTATGTTGTCTTTGGTATGAATTTTCTGTATATCTACTGTCCCTTCTTCCACTTTTTCACGAATGAAGTGGTACTGAACTCGTATGTGCTTTGTCACAAAACAAAGAGACATACTCTTAATTGTGCCCAAGCTCCTCCAATAGCATCTTCAACCAAATTGCTTCTTTACTGGCTTGTGTAGCTGCTACATATTCTGCCTCTGTTGTGGATGTAGCCACAACTGACTGCAATTTTGAAACCCAGGTTACAGCTCCACCATCAATTTTGAACACATATCCTGTAGTAGATTTGCTTTTATCCAAATCTCCTGCATAGTCAGAATCTACATACCCATTGATTAATAAGTTTGATCCTCTGTAACATAATGCAACATTTGAGGTCCCTTTGATGTATCTCAGAATCCTCTTTACTGTATTCCAATGCTCTTTGCCTGGATTTGCCATGTACCGACTAACCACTCCCACTGCTTGTGCAATGTCTGGTCTTGTGCATATCATAGCGAACATTAAACTTCCCACTGCTGATGCATATGGTACTCGAGACATCTCCATCCTCTCTTCTTCACTGCTAGGACTCATACTAGAGGATAATTTGAAGTTAATAGGAAGAGGGGTAGAAATTGGCTTACAATCTTGCATGCTAAATCGTGACAAGATTTTCTTCAAGTAATTCTTTTGTGAAAGCCAAATCTTCCTATTACTTCTGTCTCGGTGAATTTGCATCCCTAGAATCTTGTTTGCTGATCCCAAGTCCTTCATTTCAAATTCTCTAGCCAGTTGTGCCTTCAATTCTTCAATATGATCTTTGTTGGGTCCTGCAACCAACATGCCATCCACATACAACACAAAATAACAAAATCGTTATCACCAGACCTCTTGAAATAAGCACAAGGGTCTGCATTAAGTCTGTTGTATCCAAGGCACATAATGAAAGAATCAAATCTCTTGTACCAACACCTCGGCGTCTGCTTTAGACCGTAAAGAGATTTGTTCAACCTGCAAACCAAGTTCTTCTTTTCTTTTTCTTCAAAACCTTCAGGCTGGAGCATATAAATTTCTTCTTCAAGATTTCCATGAAGAAAAGCTGTTTTAACATCTAGCTGCTCTAGATGTAAGTCCAATGTAGCACAAATTGCCAAAACTACTCGAATTGTTTTTAGTCGAACCACAGGAGAAAATATTTCATTGAAATCAATACCTTCTTTTTGAGCATATCCTTTGACCACCAGTCTTGCACGATACCTCTCAACTTGATCATCATCATTTCGCTTGATTTTGAAGACCCATTGTTACCAATTGGCTTCCTTCCTTGTGGTAGTGGCACAAGGTCCCATGTATTATTTTTATGAAGGGCTTCGATTTCTTCTTGCATCGCCATCATCCACAGTGAAACATCTGAGCTATGTATTGCCTCCTGGTATGTTGATGGCTCACCGTCCTCTGTTAAAAGGTAGTATGCAATATTACCTTCTATAACATAATCTGAGTGCCAATTGGGACGTCTTCTCACACGATCTGATTGACGAGTTGTTGGAGCTTCAGAACTCTCTGGTTCTTGTTCATCATGTGCTGGTTCTGCTTCAGAAGAATCTCCTTCTTCAACCTCCTTTTCCACATGTATCTATGTAGTCTCTGACTTTTTAGCACTATCATCGTTTTCTTTTCTTTGTAGTTTATCCTCTACAAAGATAACATCACTGCTGATGATCACTTTATGGGCAGTGGGATCCCACAAGCGATACCCCTTTACACCATCAGCATACCCCAAGAATTTGCATTTTCTGGATTTTGGATCCAGCTTTGAAATTTCTTGGGCGTTGTACATCACGTACACAATACTTCCAAATACATGGAGGTTTGAATAATCAACTGGTTTACCAGTCCACATCTCCATTGGTGTCTTCAGCTCTATTGCAGTTGATGGAGCTCGATTCACCAAATAACAGGCGGTATTGACTGCTTCTGCCCAGAATGATTTTTCTAGGCCTGCGTCCCTCAACATTGCTCTTGTTCTTTCTAACAAGGTTCTGTTCATCTTCTATGCCACTCCATTTTATTGAGGAGTGTTCGCCACTGTGAACTGTTTTTTGATGCCTTCTTTCCTTCAAAAGTCATCAAATTCTTCGCTTGTGTATTCTCCTCCATTATCTGTTCTGAAACACTTGATCTTATTTCCAGAATCAAGTTCCACCCGCGCTTTGAAGTTTTTGAAAGTTGAAAACACGTCTGACTTCTTCTTAATAGGGTGCACCCAACATCTCCTGGAGTAGTCATCAATAAATGAGACAAAGTATTTTGCTCCACCTAGGGACGTTACTGGTGCTTGCCATACGTCAGAGTGAACCAATTCTAGAACACTTTTGCCTCTAGAATTTGATGTGTTGAATTTCAACTTGTGCTGCTTACTTGTTATGCAATGCTCACACAAAGGAAGTGATACATTTGTTAAGCCTGGAAGTAGCTTTTGCTCCACAAGGACTTTCATTCCTTGTTCTGACATGTGTCCAAGTTTCTTATGCCATAGCATTGCAGAATCTGAACTACATGAGGCAACAAAGGCTTCTGCTTCTAGCAATGTCTATCCCTTCAGCATGTACAAGTTTGCAGCTATCTTTTCACCTTTCAGCACCACAAGCGCTCCACGGAACACCTTCATGATTCCTTTCCATGTTTCAATCTTGCTAGCATTATTATCCAACAATCCGTAGGATAATAAATTTTTCTTCAGACCTTTCACGTGCCGCACATCTCGAACAACTTT